ATAGAACTCTTTAAGTGCACTAAATTTAATGAACTAGTCAAAAATTTTTCATTGTACTAAAGACAAAAGACAAATAATTTTTAAAAATAATTCGTAAAACATAAATTTTAATAAATATTTTGTCTCTTTGTAAAAAATTTCTACATAGAGAAATAAATTGTCTATAAGTAATACATTATGATTTACAAAACGGACATTTTTCATCAATCTAAAAAACAGTATCATTATTAAGAATTTTTTTTTTTATAAGTGTATCAACATTTAAGCAGAATATCCTCAAGAGATCTGATTTTTTGATTTCATATGCAAATTATTTGGTATTTTTGTTAAGACTTAAAATATATTGGCTCAATATACAACGTATATCATCTTAAAGCTGACAATATAACTAATGTTATAGCCAAACAAAAAATCATAATAAACATTCCATTTTAAATGACATTTTCAAATCAAGAATTATGAAACTCTATTTTGAAGTTGGTTGTCAGTGTAATTTATCATCAATGAATAATTAATGCTATAATGCACTGTATTACAAGCTTCAAGAAAAGATAGAAAACTGAAAATTCACATATATGCTTAGCCATTAATTACCTACACTAAAAATTTATACAGAATGTTTCAAATCTATCTGTCGAGGCTTATAACTTTTTATCCAATTATCATTTCAATTTTTTTTTTATAATTATTGATTTCTTAAACTATGTTCGAAGCATATGTTTTATTATTTATCACTAATATAAATATAATATTTTTTTATTTCTTATTATAATTAGTGATAAAAAATAAAAAATATGTTATAAACGTAGCATAGTTAATAAATATAAAAATTTCAACAAAATTGAAATTTCCTTTATTATATCAACATATTCTTTTAGTTTTTCGAAATTAACTAGAAAAGTATCAAAGACACATCTATATTTAAAATGTTGATTTTACAATTAACAGTATAGATATCTGATCGCAATATCAAGGAAAAATAATTAAAAATACCTTTAAGGACATCTCCAAGGGCCTTCGCATCATAGACGCGTGAGGACCGCAGGGCACCGAGTCTTGGACAGAGTTCCAACTAGCCAAAGCCTAGTTACTTATATTTTAATAATTAAAATATTAATTAGTTAATTATTAACTAATAAAACATTTTTTCATATTAAAATTCTATTTTAATATTGATTTATATTTTTTTATTGTTGATAACTATTTAATATTTGATAACTTTAAGAATTCGTTTTATCTATTTTAGATCTTTTGTTATTAAATATGTATTAATCAGAGTAGAGAAAGCATGTTTGTCATTTAATGAAATTAAATTATAAAGATAGTTTCTCTCAATACTACTGATTTTGTAGTATGCTTGTAAATAGAAAATTAAGATTAAATAAATAAACGAACGACCTCTAAATAAACGATAAAACCTCTAAATTATTACTATCTAGTGTAACATATAAAATTTCAAGCCCATCATCGTCACTTGAATAGTAAAATTATTTGCAAACATTGTTATACTATAATCCAGCTTTTGTTCTTTTGTGCAATACAACTGACATATAGTGTTTATATTATACCAGTACAAATGCGACACCTTTGACATCAGTCTTAACAATCTGAAAAGCATGGTTTGTTAGTACAATGCTAACGAGTGATCACACTCGTTCACACATTCTTTAGAAAATCCCTAAACTTTCAACGATCCAATCCGATTACTTAAGATTGTTTAGCCGCAAAAAATTGTTCTAATACATGCTTTTTAATGATTTATAGTAATATAAACGTTTTTTATCGAAAAAAGTTCTAGATAAATTTGCTTTGCTAATGATCAATAACTACAGAATCCTTAATTCTTGAAAAATTTATAAAAAATTAAGAAAATTAAAACTTTTTTCAATTTCTTAAAAGAATTTTATATTTCAATTATTTAGATTTACACGAGAGTGAGCAACATTACGTTTAAAAAACCAAACCAATAACAATCAAAAATGTATTGTTTTAATTATTTTATTTTAGATGTTCAAACTCAACATTATAACATGAACAACTAGATTCGTCACTATTATAATCGATGTTCTCTTTTAAGAGAAAATTGTTGTTCCTAGTTAATATAAGAAAGAAATAATACTGATATAAATTACATACTGTCAGATGGGTATTTCTGAGAAAATCTTTTTAAATTGTGCTTTTTAAAAGAGTGATGTTTTAATTATATCCAGAGCTAGTCACTGACGTGTACACTACGCTATCCATTAAAACAAAATTCATCACACACCTTATTAATGTACTGCAAGTAGTTCTCCGTGCACACATTTCTAGAATCTATTCATTCTCAACTTTACGAAGGTGAAATAGAAAATATACACTGTCAAATGGAGGGTGACATCCTTTTTGGTACTATTGTGTCCCTGAAGACAAGTCCAGCATTCTTACATCCTAACAACCATGACATTTTTGTTCAACATAACACAATAGCGTCCCAAAAGAGAAACAAAAAAGAAGCAAAGAAATAAACAGTATAATGATTCCAAATAAAAAAATGTTTTCGCAGAAAAAACTATGTCAGATCAACAACTGCCCTTTATTATTAAACCAGCGAACTAACAAATTGGATCTGCCATAGAAAATCATTATATTAGTAGTGAAACAAAAGTTCGAGTTGTTTTCCAATTACAGAGTATATTACAGATATAGTTTTTCTATAATATACTAGTCAAAATGAAAACGCATTCTTCCTTATTTTTCTATTATGATTTTTATACTAATCTCGTTAATTCGACAATGAGTAATCCAAGGAATGCTGTCTCTAAAAACCATTATTTAATCATGTTTAAACTTCATAACCTAATATTGTGTAAAAAAATTCTAGTATCTAATACCAGATACTAAAATCTACTAAATTTTTCAAGAAACTAGATGAAATTTAATTATTTACAGCTGTTTAACTACCAATAGATAAAAAGTACGATCAAGTAATAACTATACGAATTTTAAGAGTATCGGACATCAAAACAATTGGATATTAAAATTATTGTTTTAGAATATGTATCTTAGCAATCAAAGTTTCAAAGATTCTAATAAAATGCACCACAATAAGACGTACATAATTTTACAAAATACTAGAAAACATGTCTTGGGAAAGTACAGTTCTGGAGATATTTGATATATTAAATTAAGAATAACTATATTATTTATATCGTAGCATGGGTTATTTTAGATAACTCGTTTAAAAATAAAATTTAAAATAAATAGTAAATAAGTGTTTGAGAAAACCCAAAAATTGATATATTTTCGGAGATCTATTACTTAAAAAAAATATATTTTATCGAAAATTGTTAATATAGTGATGTAGATAATGTTATTAGCTTTAATTTAATGTATGTATAATCTCTCTATGACCAACCAGTCCTCTATAATCTGTGTTTTCTCGTGACTTTAAGATACGATAAGTAAATACTTAAATACTGTTTTAATAAATTTGGGGAAAATGTATCGTATCTTTTTTGTATATTTCTTATTTGATTGTTTCAAAAAGAATCTGATTTGAGAATAAAATGCATGTATTATTATTTAAACAGTTAAAATATTTAAAGTAACACAGATATGGTTACATTTATTTACTATAGTAATGATACACCGTCGTTATACTTCGTCATTTTAATATTGAAGTAATAATACTTATTATGAATTTTCTTCTTGGAATTTTAACGCAGGTGCTGACAATGTACAGCAATATTTAACTATTTACATTATTCATTATTAAGCTTTTGCTAGTAAATGTAAAGGATATAATAAAAGGTTTTATGTATATATTACGTTACGTGATGAATAACTGCCGTTTTATATAAATCACTTTATTTTAAAGTTTTTTCAGATACAGCAACGCAAGACACGAAGTTGTAATTAGATATTAACCCATTACGATACATAAATCACTATGTGATAAAAGATATTACAATGATACAGACTGTGTGGTTCCATCCGGATAACTTTAGGGTTTGAATTTCCTTTATAAAAGTCATCATTTGTATTACAAAGGCCATATATATATCTTGTTAAATTATTATTTATTCGTTAAAAGTGATAACAAATTATTTTTATTGAAGTTGACTACAGATTTAATTTTGATAACTTTTGTTAGTAAATGGATCTTGATTTACGACTAAGTCATTAATAATACATCACTAATAATAAATAACTATTAGTGATAAGTCTTTTAGTGATACAACTCGTATTTTTATTTTCATTTGAAAAATTTTACTTAAGAAACTCAAATAACTATCCTAAAGATATTGAAAAAGTTAAGAATTTATCACTAGGATTGAGCCCTAATTATTTGTAATCACCAACATTTTATTTCAACTAATATTTACCCAAAAATAAAACTAATGTAAAGTTTAATTGAAACTATTTTATATTTAATAAAATCCTCTTTTATTTCAATAAAAATTAATTTGAATCAAAATATTCTTAATGTTAACATGAGCTACAGGAAATTGTATAAACAATAACTCATAAACTTCACTGATTTTATCCACATTATTATGATTAAATCTAGTGAGAAGTTTAGATACGTGATTAACATGTAAAATTTACGTAAATTTTGTATATATTTGTGTTATATCATCTTAAAATTTTACTTTATTTGAATTAATATTAAAGATATGTATAATTGTTAATTTTATTTAGAATACTTAAATTAAATTTTTTTGTTTTTTTTAATTAGCTTTAAAATTGGTAATATCCTAAAAAAGCCGCTTATTTCTAATAATTAATATATTTTTATTTGTTGAACCATTATTTAATTGATGTCGCTTATCGGACGTACTTTGATAGCTCATCAGTTGAATTAGTAAATGGATATTATTATCTATTACACTTATACATTTGATTTGGTCCAGGCTATTTAATTCGAAAATACAAATAAGCAATAACCACTGTGTTTATATTGCATATTAAACAAAAAAATATTTTAAATATTTGCTTATATATTTAGATAATATGCTTACCTCATTCTAGCTACAAAAGACGGTGTGAAATAGATATCTGAATCAATTCCTAGGTCTTTATTAGCTAAAGTGGAATCCCAGTCACTCGTATACCGGACATATTTACACGATAGATTTGGAAAACCTGAAAAAAATTAACTATAAGTTTTATACCAACAAAAATGTTTCGAAAATACAATTTCTTTTCTTTGCTAAGGAATGTAACATATGCAAAGGTGGTCCATTTCGCTCGTTTACCGGTTCAGTATTTGAGTTTTTTTGTTATTTAATTCAATTTTTTGAGAAAAAATGAACTAATTGTCCTAATATTGGAGGGATTTCTAATTTTATAACCCCTAAAAAATTTTTGTTATAATATGTAAGTCTCGGTCATTTAACTTAATTATTTTAGCCCTCCAAAACATTTTATACATTTTATATCTCCAACTATAAATTCACTATGAATATTTTTGAGTAAATTTATTTTTTACAATATGAATAAAAAATATATACTTTTTTCTAAACAATGATGTATAAAAGAAGACATATTGAGAGTAAAAATAAAAAATTTAATTGATAAATCGCAACCAATGCAACTTCTCAGTACTCCATCGACGTTTTCCTTTTGGCAGACGGCACAATGGCCATTGTTGACCAACCCGACCTTGAATGTATTGTACTTCATATAATTTCGCTAAATTACTAAATTATATGATTAAATAATTTTATACCTCCATAAATTTATTAAAAATACCAACATTATTCAGTTTAATATACAGAGCAATTATTTTATCAATGACCATTTTATTATTAAAAAAAATACAACATTGAAAATTTAACTTTTGATTTCTATTAGTTACATTTTTTCATTAATTTATTAATCATAATTATGTTTCATGTTCTTTTTTTATATATTTAGAGAAAGGTCAACTTTAATTTTTAATGGCAATATTCGTAATTCGTTAGCTTTATTTATTTAATAACAATCTAATTAATAAAATTACTGATCGATGATCAGTATTTTCAAAGTTATTGAAAATTTTATATCCAGGTAGTGAAGAAGAGTGCGGCCTAAACATTTTCTGTAAATGGAGAAAATCCTCAAAGAATTACAATGTTTAAAATAAGTAAATGTCGACATTTTTAAAACTGTTTGATAGACCAGAATTGTTTTCTAATTAGATCATTTTTTATTTTACAAGCTAATTAAATATGTATATTATCATGTGAAAAATTTAAGTTGTTACCCATGTAAGACATAAGAGATGAACATAAAAATTACTTCATGAGCAATCATCAATTGAGAAAATCATGGAACTGAAAGTAATTAATAGCAAAATCTTAATATTATTTCTATTACATGAGTAGTTAATGATAAAAGAATCTTCAGGTATTAAAAAATAAATAAACTTTTTTTCAATTTCAACATATAATTTAACTATTAAATAATTAACTATTAAATTCTATCCTATAATAATTAGTATACTTTTATTAATTTTCAATTTAATTTCAAAATTGTTAATAATATTGTTTGAACAGTAAACTCTTAACAATCATTTAGAATTATAAATTACATTTTTATAACCAAAATAATATTTAATAACTTAAAATGTTAACCAATTTTACTGTTACTTAAAGAATCACAAGTTTTTATCGAAAATGTATGATGGAAAATAAGATAAATATATTTTTAGCTTGTTTGCTGAATTCCCAGTGGCCATATTTTTTGATCCTTCCACCCTAAAGTTTTATGTAATATTTTTGCTATTTGATGACTTCTAGTTTTGGGAAAAACCTCCTTAATGTTAACAATTTATTATCAAGTTGATTTTGTATTATGTTTTGACACATGAATTTTGCAAAATATTATTTATATGTATACAAAATAATCTTTAAAAAAGTAATATTTAACTAGAAATGGACATCAAGTATTATTGAAAAAGTCAAACAAATACATGTTAACAATTATTCATTTTATTTCTAATAATTATTTTAAATTTTGATCTCTTTATTATAGTGATTCCGGGACATTTAGAATTAGACAATAAGTCCTTAGTAAAAATAAAACAAATTGTTTTGAAAAATGACACTTGTTTTTCTCTCTGAGGACTGTTATAAAATAACTGTCTGTAGAAGTACTACTTCTCAGTAATGTTTTTAAAAAGATTACAATACTTTTTTAAGACCCCGCTGAGTATTACAAATAACAAACTACTGTGATTTTTCGCAATAAGCAAAAACATTCAAGGCGTATACGCTGCGAAAGAATTTCAAAACATTAAATGAATGAAACCGTTTATTTTATTTTTTAACAGACTTCAAAAAAGATTACTTTAAGTCCACAGATTTTTAAAAAAAAATGTACATAGGATTTCATACATTTTTTTTATTAGCGCAATGTGTTAACGAACTTTAATTGAGGACATAATTTTCCACGCAATAAAGTGATATCTTTCATTAATTACACATTCGTGGACTTCGGTGGTTTAATACAAATCCTGAACACGAAAATGATTTTAAACCGACCAATATAAACAATTGGGAATATTACCAAACAACCAAAGAGGATTAGTGAACAATGTTTGAGATCAAGTTTGTTTATTTTCAATTGACCAGCCAATACTTAAACATTATATCGACCCATATTTTCAAACAAAAATTGGAATGTTTGTTAAACAAAAAAAAATTATTATATATTATTAGAAGTAAATTATCCGAGTAATTTTTTTTTAATTATTAACAATATAAATATAATTGTATTCAATGATACAAAACATTTAATATTTATGAATCGTTTACTAAAACGATTAAGGATTTCATGAAATATTCATAACCAGGTACCCCCATAAAGTTTTACAGTTTGGTACCAATCAAATAATAGATCCAAAAGATTATAGATATTTTCCTTTCTTTCCTTGTGTTGTTAACTTGACATAACATAACAAATTCGCCTTAAATAAATAAAATGATAATGATCATTAGCAGCACTCCAAAATGTATTTATTGATACAAATTAAAGTTTAAAAAGGCTTTCCTCGGTCTTGTACATTTTATAATCATCTTAAAAATGCTTGTTTAATATTTGTATAATAAGCCTTAAAATACTCGCAACTAAGTTCAAAATTACTTTTAATATAATGAAATCTATTTTAAATAAAGATATATGAAAAAACTATGTGCAATACAAGAATTTAATTCCTATAACAATTAAATTGTTTATAAATAATGACTAATCGTTATATTTTCGAACTCATATTTTTGAAAGACAGAAGACTCGTATAGGTTGAAGTCATTCCTTATGATTAATAAAACATTATCAATGAACAACTTCTTATTTCAGTCTTGAAAAATTTTTAGAGATACTATTTATTTAAAAAAAAAACTTGACCACAATAGGTGCAATATAAAATAAAACATCAATTTATCTTACAAAAAATTATTATTTTGTCCATAACGCGAATTCTAGTATATTGTTTTATTATTCAACTTATTTTTTATAAAAACATAATTTCTTTAAAATTTTTCTGTAACAATTATTCTGACTACAAAACTTGTAACTTTTTTGTGTGAGATGTAGAATATTTCTTATTTTATTTTAATTTCTATTAATAAAGTCTGTGTTATTATTTTTTAGCTCTTTCTATAATTTTAACTTATTTAAATTTTTTTTTTCAAAAATTACCTCCAATATTTGGTAGTTTTGTAGAGTCAAATAATATGCGTTTTGTTGTAAGAACAATACCACACATTTTTTCAAACTGTTGTAGACCACGTATCAGTTCTTTATCCTTGTTGATTTCTCATACTGTTTGTCCAATATATTATTTATATTATGAACACGATTTTTGTACTATGTTCAAACACAATATTATTTTGGTCTTATTTGTTATTCTAGAAATGCGATCAGAGATCCCTTGTATATACGAATACACAAATAATACTTGAGCCGTCCAGTTGTAAAAGGACGTATAGCCAAAAATGATTTTTTTGTAATTTTGCTTATTTATTTGGTCTTAAAGTAATCAATTAAAAAAATCAAAATTACAAAAAATAATTTTTTTTAGTGCACATCCATTTTTTACTAATCGGCTTATTTTTAATATTTTGTTTCCTTCAATAACCATGGAAAGTTCATTATGTATTGTTATATTTAATATTATAATAAAAATGATTACATTTAAAGAAGTTTGGATTTATACTAAAAAATCATAAATTAAAGTACACATTTTTTATAAATATATCGTGCAAAATTTTAAAATATAATTTCATTATGTAAATTTTTTAAAAAGAAAATAATCCTGTTTATTTAAATCATGAAACCATATTATATTAAAAAGTATTATATTATGTAATTTAATTTATTATTATTAATATCGTCAATTAATTACTTTTTTTAATTAATCAAAATAATTTTAATACCATACAATATATTTTACGACTACAAGAATAATTTTATTCAATTAATATTAGTGATTTTACAATAATAAAATATTGTCCATATCCTATTATTAACATAGAAAACAGCAATTAAAAACCCAGTGCAAAGGAGACGCGGTATAGCTTAGACAAGTATTGATGATATCTGACATTGATTAAGCTTACTATAATAAAAACACTCAGATAAAAATCTGTAGATAGTTTTTAATTTTGAAAAGGAATTGCTGGATTATTCCAAAAACAACATCAACTCCTATTAACTTTTAAATTTCTTAATAATTTATATATTTGTAATCTTACAATTACAGACATAAAAAACGCACATAATGGTAAAACCAATATCTTCTCAGCTTAGCATCAGAGCTAAAATTTAGTTATTTAAGTTTTACGATTGGAGTGATAAAGCATTTTACTATAGCCAGAAGATAATAATATAACAATAAAATCTATATAACCTCAATGTTTATTTATAATATTAGTGTTTGAATAAATTATTTGAAATTTTTTCTAAAAAATTATTTGGAATTTTATATATTTTTTTATTAACTAATCCACATATAATCATATCTTGTGTAAAAAAATCTGAAGTACTACATAGCATGTTTACATATTTAAACATATTTACATTTGTTTAACACTAAAAAGATACCTTTCAAACATACTTGCGGTTTTTATAAAAACCAATTCAAATTAACGTAAAAGAAAACA